GGTTCAGTTGTTGGTCAGGGCACATGCCTGGGTTGCCGGCTTGACCCCGCAGTAGGGGGTGTGCAGGAGGCAGCTGATCAATGATTCTCTCTCAGCATTGATCTCTCTCTCTCTCTCTCTCTCTCTCTCTCTCTCTCTCTGTCTCTCTCTCTCTCTCAAATCAATAAAAATATATTTAAAACATCCAACAGCACCATCTGCTAAGGATGTGGTGATTTGGCTTTGGACATCTTGATAGTAACTATGTATAGTTGCCTGTGAATTTCAAGTTTCTGTTCTTCAGAAAAGTATTTTGAACTGAACCAAGGTTATGATCCTCTATGTGGTAGCCAGACTTTAGTGTGCATCTGAATCGCCTGGGGAACTTATTAAAACAGCAATTCCTGGGGTCCACCCCCCAAAAATGGTGGGTGGGGCCTGGGAATCCAAATGTTTAACCAGCATCCTTGGTGATTCTGATTCAGAGCATTAGAGGCCCATATTTTGAAAAATCACTTAACGAAATGACCCCCAATATTACAGTTAATAAAATATAAATCATCTTTTACATATCACAGAAAAGAAAACTTGCTAAAGTACACTGAATTGAGCAATGGATGAAAACAGCTCCATGACATCCATTAAAGGCACGTCATAGGATTATATTAAAGAACATGATGAGGGACATTTAAGAATTTCTCCCAAGCTCCCATCCACTGCTTTCTCCTCACCCTCTCTTTGCCACAAGGAAACAAACCATTCCCACTTTCACTGCTCTTCCCCACTCTCCTTCACCAAGATTTTAAACAAAGGAATAAGAGGAGGCATGCTTTCAGACAAGTAGACAAGAGAACCAGAGGTCACTATCTTTCAAACTAACCAGGACTCAGTGCATTAATGACGGCTATTTTTATGCATGCCTCTCCACAAGCAGAGAGGGAAAGCAGAATGAATACCTTACGCTATTCTGTCTTTTCCAATGCTAAAGAGAGGTCTAGATCTCGAGGGTAAATTCACTTCAATTCCTTCCTGTCTTCTCTCTTCTTGCTCTGGACCTTCCTCTAAATTAGTGTGTCTCAAATGGTAATGTTCATAGGAAATCCTGTTGAAATGCAGATTCTGATTCTGCAGGATGGGAGCAGGGCCTGAGACTCTGCCTTGGTAATAAAATTCTAGGTGATGCCAATTCTGCTGGACCAAAGACCACACTTGGAACAGAGGATCTAAATTCTCTGATGCTATACTCGGAAGCCTGTGTAACACAATCTACAGTAGCTTGAGGTATTCCCCACAGGTGTCCATTAACTATTCCTTTTATTACCAATGCTACCATCTCAGATGGCCATCTCAGGCCTGGGCCCCTAAGGCAGCATCACACAGGGTTGCCTATGTGGCCATCCATCCTTTGATTCCCCGGAGGCCTAGAGAAGATGGATTACCTGAGTAAAAAAAGTTAAAAAAATGAAAAAATAAGAAAAAAGCAACAGATGGTGAAGGATTAACTATCCAAGTCCTAAAAAATGTAATTCTACTGGGAAGTTACACCAAAAACAACAACACACACATGAAAATATCAGGCAAAGGAAACTGGAGCTACTGGACTTTTCCAAAGGGGAATAAGGAAGTTGGGGTTTGGAGGGAGGTGGTCTTGACTATAATAACTGCACAGGTGGGAGAGGCATTTTCCTTTGGCAAAGATCTTCTGGTCAGCTTGTATCAAAGCCTCTTCTTCCCCTCCCCCACTCGAAAGAAATGGAGAACTCTGAAGAAAAAAAAAAAGACACAAGAGCCATATGGAACTCTCTCTATTTTTTTCTCTCACACCATCTGGTTTGGAATCTAAGTACAGAATGGCAACTGCATCGATTTAGAAGCCAACAAAATCTCCAAGCAACTGGGAAGGCGAAGACATGGCTGGGTTCAGTCCCCTCACTCCGGAGCCTGCACTATACTCTTTTTTAATTTGTTTTGTTGTTGTTGTTAATCCTCACCCGAGGATATTTTTCCATTGATTTGTAGGGAGAGTGGAAGAGAGAGGAAAAGACAGAGAGAAACATCGATGTGAGAGAGACACATTGATTGGTTGCCTCCTGCATAAGCCCTGACCAGGGCATGGCCCGGGGAGGAGCCTGCAACCAAGGTACATGCCCTTGACCAGAATCAAAGCCAGGACCCTTCTGCCCACAGGCTGACGCTCTATCCACTGAGCCAAACCAGCTAGGACTGCATTATATTCTTTATACTCTCTCTCCTACATGCAAGGTCTCTGTGGCTGGTTTCAGACACAAATGGTCCTGATTTCAGTCACTGCACAGAAAAAGTTAAAACTATGTGTGGGTAGAGATCGTTTCAGGATCTCGGAAGATGATTCTATAAATCAAGTTCAGTGATTTTATTTCTCCCCTTCAGACAATAACCTGCTTGCTCATGGAATTCTCACATGAAATATCACCAGCAACCTGATACTGAGTTCTACAGTTTCTCAGCATACCATTCCAGAAGTCTAAAAACTCTAAAACCAAGGATTATTCCTTTCTTTCTTGGTATAGTTCAGCTGGCAACAAAACCTGTTCTGATCTAAACTTATTTGAAGGCAAAACCCAGTGTGATTGGGCCAGAGGCTGTTTATAGGCTTCCTTTATGCTATGTAGGCTCTCTACAAAGATTAATGTGTTTGATTTGTGGGAGCACCCAGTCTTCGCTGGTGATGTCATGTAGCACGTGCTGTACGTGCCATGTTACTTTTCAAAAACCCAAACTCTTCTGAATTCTGGAATAAGTCTGGCCCCAAAGGTTTCAGAAAAGAAATTGGATCGAGCCTTGTGTTTTTCTCCTCAGTGGCCACTGCTGCTTAGAATGCCCGTGTTCTGGTGTTTGGTTGTAGGATCAGAAGCATGTATTTTTCCAGTGTTCTTACAGGAAACTGTTCAACCAGTGGACAAAACTTGTCAAGAGCAATTGCTAGAGGGCTTTCCTCTAATAAGATACTGATGTTTACTCTTTACCACACAATCCAGGAAGATTTTTTTTATTTTTATTTTTCTTGATTTCCAACTAGCCTGGTGTCTTCCAACACATTCTTAAAATGAAGAACTTTCTGATAACTTAGGGACCTTCTTGTTATGTTAACTAATACCCTTCTTCTCACTCTATGCTATTGAACTGTGCACATTTTAAAATATATTTTATTGATTTTTTTTACAGAGAGGAAGGGAGAGGGATAAAGAGTTAGAGACACCAATGAGAGAGAAAAATCGATCAGCTGCCTCCTGCACACCCCCCACTGGGGATGTGCCCACAACCAAGGTACATGCCCTTGACCAGAATTGAACCTGGGACCCTTCAGTCCTCAGGCTGACACTCTATCCACTGAGCCAAACCGGTTAGGGTGAACTGTGCACATTTAATGGTGCTTGGGGGTGTGTGTGTTAAAAACAGCTTTAATGAAATATAGCTTACATTTAAAATTCACCTGTCTTAAGTGTACAATTCAATGGTTTTGAGTAAATTTACAGTTATGTAACCATCACCACAATCTAATTTTAAAACATTTCCATCATTCTAAAAAATATCCCTTGTACCCCTTAGTAGTCACTCCTCATCACTCTTCCCTCAGCCTGTGGCAAACACTTTCTGTCTCTATGGATTTGTCAATTCTAGAAATTTCATATAAATGGAATCATACAATATTTGGTTTCTTGCGACTGACTTCTTTTACTCAGCAAAATGATTTTTGAGATTCATCCATGTTGCAGTACTAGTATGTGCCAGTAATTCATTCCTTTTAATTGCTGAAGAGTATTCTTTAATTGCATGGATATATCATGTCTAATGGCAATTTTAAAAAATATTCCATAACCCTCCATTCTTTAAAGGACCTCTGAGAACAAATGTGTGATATCCCTTCTTGCTCACCTTTTCTAACCAGCACTGCTCAGGTACACAGAGAGCTGGCGTCTAAAAGCCCCATGTCAAATGAAGGAATCCATAACCCCAAATGTAGAGCTAAATCCCAAGTCAGATTTCATGTTAATTAACCTGAAGCTCCAATTTAGGTTTTAAAATAAAAATAAAAAGTTTTATAAAATAATTGCAGGCGTTGTGACTTTGGAATTCAATAGGTATGTTACATCGTATCTCAGGTACTTCTGAGGCATTCCTGAAAAAGTAAGAAACTAGGAAAAATGATTCTATGGGTTTATGCAAAATTATAGCAAAACTTCAAACCAATTGTTTATTTGACCCAGTACCATCCCTTTATAGTCACATTTTAAGTAACTTGAAATCACTGAATTTTAGCTAATTGAGCTGAGTATTAAGACGCGAGTAGACTTTGGGAATGTGGTGGGTGGATGTTCATATTACTCAGCATTTTCCCCCTTTTTAGTCCCCCACACATTTCACATTTCATCCAGGCCCAGCGCCTAGCGGTTCTGAGGGACCAGAGTTCCTCATGAGCAAGGAAACCAGAAACTGGACCTACCTGACGGGATCGGGTACAGTTATCCCATCCCCACTCCATGTGCTTTGACTTTCCCATCTCAAAGGCAATGGCTAACGTTAAATCAGAGTGGTACACAGCAGTGGGGCCAGGAATAAATCTGGGGATACTCACAGTACCCTTAGAGCCAAGGCTCCTTGACTGTCCTGGCCTAGTTTTTGGTCCTAAGGTGGACATGGGTGACACCTCCCCCCCAATTATCAGTTCAGACATTGGAAATTTTGTGGTTAGCCCTAAGGTGTAGCTCATTGTATACTACTCCCTTTGAGAAGAAGAGGTGAGTGTGAGGAAAGGGGGAGGAGGGAGAAGAAAGAGGCGAAAGATGGAGTGGAATGGAGAGAAGAAGAGAAAAAGGAAGATGATCAACTTTTTTAAAGGGTCAATTCCACCCATGCCCCTGTGAACAAATGAATGCATCAAGCAAAAACATAAAATATCACCAATTGGAAAGAACCATTACAAATAATATTAACGATAACAGTTGACTTGCTATTAGAATTCACCCCAAGGCTGTATTTACCTGGACTGCTCAAGGGGCTAGCCCTGTCCCCCAGGGTTGGCACGGGACGGTACTGGTGGTTCTTTGAGCCTGGGTACATCCAGTGGTACCTGCCAATTTCCATTTCAGCTCTGCTGTTCACTGCCAATTTCAGGTGGCAAAGAGTCAGTGTCTCTATCTCCAGCAAAGATTCTATATCAGCATTTTAAGTAATTCTTTTACCATATAGTTCAAGGAAAGGAGGAGTTTAAAAATATGCAATTGGAATGCAATCTTTCAATACCATCTTATCAACTCAGCATGATAAATTGAGAATGTTGGAATTTGTTCCTCTGTTTTTCAATTTAAGTTTTCCAAAATCACCCAAATTGTTTTTTCTTTTCTTATTTAATCCATTTCTCCCACCCCACCCCTTAGAATGCTCATTTTGGGCAGACACTATTTATAGTAAAAATCTGGCTTCCCACAATAATATTTTTCTCTCTGTTTATTTCTCTTTCAGACCCACAGACTATCATAATTATTGCAGCTGCAAAAGCAGAGGTGACTACAGGCTCACTTTCCATAATGGTACCCAGTCCCAGCCTTGAAAATCTGGCAAAGAACCCCATGCTCTGCTGAATCTTGGATGAAACTCCCGTCCTCCTACTGACATCTGCAACATTCTCTGTCACCTCATCTTAAACTCAGTACTTCAGAGCCTAGAATGTTCTGGATTAAACCCTGACTCAGTGATCTCCCAGTGTTTTATAGACCAAGGGCTGCTGAGTTTGGACTACTGTTTACTCACACACACGGTGACAACTGGTCTCCTGAAGACTCGGGTCCCTATTTGGTAATATAACTATAATTCCTACTTCTTAGGATTGGAGAGAAAAACATTTACTAATTTGCCTGACCCAGAGTCAGCTGCTGGTAACTATTAGTTAAATTACAATCTTGAAATCCCTAAGAAAACATAAGGTCAGCATGCCAGTTTATGTTTGGGAATCCCATAAAACCCAATAAGAGGTTATGTCCTCTGGGGTGCCACAAATATTCCAGGATAAAAAATATAATTCTAGCATTGATATAGAGAATTATTCCATCAGAAGATCAGGCTATAACGCCCCATTTGGCACCTAAGAACCAAGGAAACAACCACATTGCGAGGCAACACAGCACACGCCCTGACCAGGTGCACTTCAAACCTCACAAAGACTTTATAAAATCCCAACTTTGATCTTTGAAAACTCTCAGGGATTTCCCACTGGGAGTGGACACATACTTTTCCAGGTGATGTTTTAGAGAAAGCCTTCTTTGGCTTCAGGTTAAAGTAAAATGTCTTCTAAAGACTTAAAGACATTGAAAAGAAAGGAAAGATGCTAGGACAACCAGAACTGCACATTGAAAGTGTTTGGCTGTTTTTGTTGTCCACGATGGTGCCAGCTGCGTAAGTTACAGAGTGCTTGTGGTGCGCTGGTCACCATGCAAAGCATATTGCAGCCAATACCTCATCTGTCACAAGCACCCAATGAAACAGGTACTGTTATTCTTCTTCTATCTTTACAAATGAAGAAACCAAGATTAATAAGAAGGCAAGTCACTTGCCCACAACCATGCAGCAAGGGTGGAGGAGCCCAGGTATGAGCCCGGGCATTTTTACTCCATTTTCTACTCTTTTGCTGAAGCAGTGGTTAGCTTAACAAGAGTTTTTCTGCAGACCCTCTGGAGGTGAGCTATGCTTCTGTGCCTCCTAAAAAAATGTTTCAGATCCCAAGCTTCTGAGGTTATGTCAGGGTTCTTAAATCTTCTTAACTCTCACCCTTCCCTGGATTTAGATTTTTGCTTTACTATTCACAAGATTCTCTCTTAGACATGGGTTGTGCTACATTTTCTGAAAGCAAAATGACTCAGTGGGGCTGGTGGAAGAAACCAGAAGAGGGTCCAGTCGCCTCCTGCTATGACATGATTTACTCTTGGTAAAGTGGCTGTGAGCTCTCCATATTGACCTCAAGCAAGAGGATTCCATGTAGCTCTATCACATTTGATCTGAGAAATTTCATTGTCCTTTAAAAACATTTCTCTCTCTATGCCCAATACACAGTAGGTGCCCCCCGAAAGTGTGCTGAATAAATATTTGGTTGAATGTAAAGGAGCTCCCTGAGAGCCTGTGGGCCAAGAAGTGGACCCCCAGGTCCCCCTGCACACTGATCTCACCCAGGCCAGACCATGCAATTCAAGCACTCTCTACATGGGATACATCTATTCTCTGTTCTCATCTCCTCACAGGGTGGGGGTGTCTCCAGACATTTGGGCAATCAGGCACAGTTGGCCAGGCAATGACAGTGAAAAACATGGACTGCCCTACACTAATGTGTTTGCTGGGAACAACATGGCAGCCATGCCTGAGATGCTTAATTTAGCATAAAAATAATACTGCTCCAGCAGATGTGGGGGTGGAAGTGGCAAGTGGATGGAGGTTTTCCATTACTTCTGGGAAGGCCTTTTATAATAGTGAATCTTAAGATACGAAAGAAAAGAAAGTTATGTCTATTTCATGTGTTTGAGCCAAACTTAAAGACATTAAATATAAAATTATTTATAAAATTTCAAAGAACCCCACATACATTTTGTTTAAAAGGACAAGGTCCCAACACTCAGAAGGGAGTCACATGATTGCAAGGAAAAGCTGCAGCTTGAATGGTATATTAATATGTTAATTCTGGGCAACTGGCAAGAAATGAGAAGATATGTACGCCCGGGGTCCTGCCTTACAGAGAGAAGACTGCAAATGTTCCCCTAAGAGAGTAGGAGAGAGAGATGGGGAGGAGACCAATCTATATTCTTGAAGAAGCACAAAAGGCTGTGACATCTGAGATACTATTTATGGTTGGGGCTGAGGTGAGTGGTGGTGACTGATGGCCATAGACACTACGGTACTTGGTCATCACCAAAGGTGGGTATGAAACAAACAATGGGAAGTTGAGGAAAGTATAACAAAACGATGCCTTGTACACTTTTTAAAATTTACTTAACGTGAGTTAGTGACAAGGCTGAGTAACTGCTGCAGACCGCCAAACTTTCTGGCATCTAGGAAATTATCACTGCAAGCAACTGAGTGACAAAGACTGAGCTTCCCAGAAAGACCACATTCACTGGGCAAGGTCTTTGAAAGCTGTATCTATCATCCTTCATTTTTAGCTATTATTTAAAATATGAAAGGAAAGCCATCACCACACTACAGAATATAGCTAAGGTCATGAACGATGGCCACCTGCTTTTGTAAATGAAGTTTTATTGGAACATGGCCACACCTATTTGTTTAGATACTATCGATGGCTACAATGGTAGACTTGAGTAGTTACAACAGAGACTTTATGGCTCTCAAAGCCTAAAATATTGACTCTCTAGCCCTTTATAGATGAGGTGTGCTGATCCTTGGTTTGAATATAGCTAGTAAAGCTGGAATATATAAAGAAGTTAATGCAATTAATCAAATCAGCCTTCAAAATAGGAAATTATTTTCTCTTGTTACATGTTCTCTGAAGAGATATACCACTGGGATGGCTAAGGATCAAAATTATCTCTGGCATTGTTGTCTGCTATTTACTCTGCCATTGATCAGCAAAATTATGGTCAAACTCAAGATTAAACTACACATATTAGTCCTTAAAATGAGTTAGGGTCCTTCTACTCCTATGACATGAGCTAAGAGGTCAGAGGAAGGATAATGGTTCAAAGTAGAACATTATTAAATGAATAAATAATCAAATGAGTGAAGGAACAACCAGGTACGTTTGTGAACTGGGGTAGTCTTCCTCTCTCCCATAGCCACCCTGTTCCTGGCCAACCATTTCATGTGGATGTACATTTGGTGCCAAGGAGAGAAAAGCAAGAGTGTCTTTAGAATAATCCAATTCATTACCAGTCCCAGAGAGGGGAAATTTTTGTCATGAGGATAACTGGCTATTTCACATGCTCCTGGATACATGAAGGCTAGTAAGCCATGTTGTTAAAATTATTTACTCTAAATTGACCTCTACTTCCAAATAACAGAGAAATATAATTTTTAGTGTTACAGTTTGAATTCAAGATTTCCACTCAGTTTTAAGGTAGGCAAATCTAAATTTGCAGAATTGGGTCAGAATTCTTTGTCTAATGAAATAGCAAGACCCAGCCTTGAAAAGTATGCTAATGGCAATAATAACATAAAAGTAGGAGATGCACCAAATGGCTCATTGAGATCTCCACACTTAAGATTTCTTAAAAAATAAGATGAAAGCAAGCTGTATCATACCTACCACATATGTCCAGCACCATCTGGCCGGCCACGCTTTTCTCTACAGCCTATCCCCCAGACACCCTCTCTTCAAATGTCCTCCTTAGCAGATTCTTATAAGGAAAAATTGCATCTAAAACATTCTCTATACCATATTCATAAAATTAAGTTAGAGAACATCAATAAAAATCTTAAAATGAAATAATTCATAGAATACCAGAAATAGTGTAACATGTTCAATGTGTCACAATGGGTTTTAAACATGCAGGTCATATATTCTAGAGGAGTGATTTTCTTCCTAAACAAAAAAAAGATAGGGTCCAAAAGTGCACACGTTTTGCAAAATAAAATTAAAAAAAGGAAAGAAAGAAACAGAATCTAATTTTTTATCTATTTGATTAAAAGATTTAAATAGATGTGTTAAGTTTTTAATCAAGTCAACAATTTCAATTCATTTCTTATTGTGACTATGTCCTGTAATTTATTTTAAATTATACATTATTTCCAATTTACTACATTTTCCTTCCTATGTGGTTAGGAACTTAATTTGAAGCCTGGAATTCTGGAATTTATTTCAGCAATGATTCATAGGAGCTTAACTAGTCTGACTATAATTGCTTTAGGAGCTCGCAATTTCCTACATGTAATAAAAATAATTTTCATCACAGATACTTAGATTTTTTTCACGCAATAGAGCAATTGATTCAATTGTTTTTCTACCCTGTGATTCAGTACTCCCAGCAATTCCAGATGCATTGGTTTCCACAAATGAATTGCCATCAAGTAAAGCTCTACAGAAATAAATAGAAACCTAACTCTCCATTTTTTATTATTAAGTCTCATAATCTATTTTCTTTGATTCTCATTCATTTCCTTCACTTATTCCATTTCAGTGAATCTGCTTACTCAATGCTCACATTTTGATTTAATTTAATGCTTCCAATTTGAAAACTGCCATTTGTAGTAATTTGGCATTGCTTACATCTGAGAAAACCTGCTTGCTTTCCTTAGAGAATTCCTGAGTAACTACTAAATACTTATTGTGAATTTTGATGGTTGAGTAGTGTTCTCTGACAAAAGCTATGAGACTGCTTCCAAAACACATTTGCTTTCTCTTTTTAAAAGACTTGGATTATTATTTTTTTTTAAAAAAATAGGAACAAATTAATGTTGATTTAGTTTAAAGAAACAGCTCTCTTTGTCCTGCCAAAACTCCCAGGAAGTGACACCAACTAGAAAAACGGAGGTCCATTTATAAAGCTAAATTTAATTTATGTTCTTAATAAACATTGTAATAATTACCCAAAGCCATTAATTCAGAAACTACTGGGTAATAACCACTGGGCAATAAACCCCAAATTAAGAGACAGATATCGCCTCTAGTGCTAACTATTAAAAAAAAGAAGGAAGAAACAGAGGGGCAAAATATATGTGCATAAAAACCTGTGGGAAGTGACAAAATATACAGGGTTAAATTTGGTAAATTAAATCCCTCGTTGAAAGTTTTTTGTTTTTTGTAAAGAACAGCTCCACCAGCTCAAGAATTATCTAATACATTCTCTAACTGTGTCAAGTTTTTAAGTGCTAATTTCAATGCAGCAAACATTTATTTTCGAAATTGAACATGAAATCTGAAGAAATGCTGGCGTGATAAACACACACAAACGTGTGATTCTCGTTTTGTGCCTTGAATGACAATGGCGAGCAGACTGGGGACACTACAAAGATGATACCTGTGTGAGTTTTGACTTGTGCAGTTATGAACTTGCCTAAATGAAGATTAGGAGAGAAGCCACCCTCCAGACCAACATTTATGGTAGGTGGGTCACATAGAGAGCGATCGCAACCCCGTGGCTGCAGTGGAAATACACTCCCTGGCCCGTATTCTTACTGCAGCATGTACTCTATATATGGTCAGAGCTTGTGTTAACATGGCATTTTTTAATTCCTTAACAAATAGCTAGTGTTTATCAATTTCGGTAATTTTTAAAGTTCCTCCAGGAATTAACTTTGGCTTCTCATTTTATCTCCAAAAGCATAGCTACTGAGATTTCATACACAGATGGTCAATGGATGTAGTGGCAGCCTGTGGATTTGGTATTAAATAATATTTAATTGACATAAAATAACAGTGTTCCACAAGACTAAATGATGATGAGATACACGATTGTGAAGTGAGGATTTCATATTGCTTCTATGCCCCTTGCTTGCTTTTGGAGAGAAAAATGAAAGGTATGTTTTTGCGGAGACCGAAATGGTTTTATCTGCCACTGGCAGACACCCTATTAATAAAAAGTGTGTGCTAAACAGAGTCATCTGCTTTAGGGAAAACCTGCTATCAACTGGGGTAGGCTTCCTCACAACAATGCTATGTTACTCATTACATCCCCAAACTTCATCTCTGAACATCATGGATATGAATCTTTAAACTGTCATCTCAGTTCCTCAGCGTCATAAATTCTCCTGTTGCTATTTGCTCATTCATGTACATATAAGATCTATACGAACAAGAAAGGGCAGGGTTGTGGGGGACTTTGGGCTGTTGTTTTTTTGGGGGGGGGTAGGGTGGGTGGGTGGTAGGTTTGATGCAAGGATTGAAGTAAACTACCCATTTTAAAATGGAAGTGCTACTGCCACTTAATTCTACTTAATGCCACTGAATTATACACTTAAAATGGTTCAAATGTCCATTTTTCTCTGTGTGTATTCTATCACACTTCGAAAAGAATTAATTTAAAACATGAAATTGCTCTCTGGAGGATGCAATGTCATCCAAGTACTGCGCACAGAAGAAATCCCATGTAAGAACACGCAGCCTCAACCCAGGCGTGCTGTGAAGCCAAAGCCATGCAACTGCCGCTCCTGTCATGTAAAATGGTTGACTATCAGCAATCTCACAGTTCGACCTACATAGTCATAGTAAAGCCTCCATCCCGGGGAATGACTCCCGCTTAGTGACTGTCAGTGGACGGCAGGGCCGTGAGAAATAACCTTCCTTTGCGCGGTGGCTTTTGATGCTGGAGCCACTGCGGCTACAGAATCCGGTCCGGGCCATAACTTTGGGGGAGGGAGACAAGTCACCACGCAGGGGAGATGCCTGGACTGACAGCAGCTGAGCTGACGCTATGGCTATCACACACTTGCCATCAGTCATTCCTTGGGCAAAGATTAATTTTAGCTTCTATTTTCTGCCACTTTCGTACCACAAAACACTTCTCCCCCCCCCCCAACCCCCGCCGAAAACCCCACCATTCCATATGTCAAATTGTGATATGATCTAAGATTCCCTTTCAGGAACAGGACCGTTATCAATTTCCTCCCCGAAATCTCCAAGTCATGGATAACAGAACCCACTCCTCTCCCATCAGCACTAGGCTCCAACTTAAATGGCTATTACATGTCATAGCCAGGGCCCCATACATGGAAACAGCAATCATATTCAATAAGAACATGAGAGAATGTCCAAATCATTACAGCATGAGTGGAACCCAAACGCATTTAAGATGCATGCCCCTCCAGTTCCTCTTGGGCTTGAGCAGCAAACAAAGCATCCCATGTCCCTGGACCGTAACATGCAGAACACAGAACCTAAGTTATGACATTCCGTTAATTCAAAAAGAGAGTTTCCCCCAATCCAGCTCAAGGTGACAAGCTGCTGCCGCCCTTCTATGAAATACCACGTTCGCTAGGAAGATTTGGAACAGGAACGGATTGCAGAAAGGCTGCTCTATTAATTTAACATCAAGGGGGGAAAACGCCCAAAAGCAAGACCGGGCGGTAGGGATTGCTTCTGAGCTATTTTACAAGAGACACAAACCGGGCGACCCCCCCTTTAAGCACCCCCAGTGAAAAGCTCTAAACAGGCTATTGTCAACGCCGGGTACCTTTTCTCTCTTGGCTTTGTTCAGTATTTTCCTCCGCCGCAGTTTCCATGGCTGGCTTCATACCATCCACCAAAAATGCTTTTCCCCCGCTCCCCCCAACACACACTTTTCCCCTCCTCTTCCTTTTCTTTGGACTCCCCTCCGTCTCTTATTTACACTCGCGTGATTGAGCGGTTCTGTTCTTCACTACAGTAGATTACAGTCCCTTCCAAGATGCAAAAGTCTCTTCAGCGTCAATTTCCCTCTGCCTACTGGTCCATAAAGACAGCTGCCAAGGAGCCGGCAGCCATACGTCACCAAGGATCCCAGTTATAAAACAGCTATTCTGTGTCCGATTGTGCCTCCGATCTCAATGCGGCTCTGAGGGGGGGCGGGACCGCTCCCCACCGGGCCCCTTCCTCCCTGCTCTCCTACCCGCCGAGCCCTTCTTTCTCCTTGCCAACTGCGCCCAATGAATGCTAATGAATTCTCCCAGGAGAGAAGAGATTCGTGATTCCTGACATCAGAGGAGGGCATGTGGAGAAGAAAAGAGCCCCCTCCTACCACGTGACTCAGCTGGCTGACCATGAAGTATGTTCTCTCAGGAGAATGCACGTCTTCCGGAAGCAAATGCCTTCTTTTCCGTGGGACCCCGTGGGGCATCATAATTGGTTTTATTTCATGTACCCCTGGCCCTGGCAGAATATAGTCAAAGGACTTGCCCAGGGTCTCTATTTTATTTGCTTTCTTTCAAATTTGCCTTTTACACAATCTTCACATAGATATATATATCCACCAAAAACGCTTTTCCCCGCTCATCCATATATATGTATATATGAAAAGTACATAAGAAGGAAGATAACCCAAACATCATGGGCATAATAATAGCAGTGTAGCAGTTTAGTATTAGTACCTATTTCCTGGCCTCTAACTAACATATGTGATGGAAACAAAAACGTTAGCTCAAGCCCAATTAAAAGAGATACCTGTCCTTATTTTAAAATAATCATAATATGCTGTGAGTATATCTAGCCGACATTTTGGTGGCTTCTTGGAATGAAAATCAGGAGAGTGTTTTTCTTATTGCACGTGGTTATTTCTATACGGAGCTTTCTTCATTACAACCCCTGGCTCAAAATGAAAGGGTAGTTTCAAGAGCATTCAAAATGTTCAGCATAAAAGCTATTGTACCAATAATGATTTTGATTGCTGCTTTCACATGCCTCCTTGCATACCCAGGTACCAGTGCACCAGCGTTCTCACATTCCCATCCAAGCATAGAAGCCTTATTATCATGGTTGAGCCACATGTTTCCAAGCATCACTGATTTCTGCACCATGCTTTAAGCACTTAATTTCATTTTCCTATCAAAAAGTTTATAGAAACTCAAGTCAAATACAGGGATGGATGCTGATAACCGCAGGACAAAGGGTTCCAATTAAGAACAGAGTCTGGTAGTTGGCTGGGGTGAGTACCCATCTTAAAAACAAACATAAAGTCAAATTAGAGACCACTCTCTCCAAAAAAAATCTCTCCCAAATTTTAAGGGTTTCTTGCTCAACACTTAAAAAAATGTATAAGATCCTGCATCAAAATCCTCTAACAACCTGATCTTTTAACACATTAGATCTGGATAATCCGCAAAGCCTTCTGCATTCAATACCGAAGGACCCGTTAAACCGAAAAAGATTTTGAAAACCAGTTTAGCCTGTTTCAACATTTTCTTTTCATTTTACGTCTCATTTTTCACTGTAACCATTGTCTTAGAAGACCACGCCCACAATCAGCTATTTCCTTAAATGATGGCCCCAGACAATGTCTCATGGTGAGGGGATTGACAAGCATGGCAGTCTAAAATTTCAGACTTTCACAAGGAGATTCATTGCATAAATGCACCACAGCTTTTTTATCCCGTCATCTACTGACGGCCACTTGGGCTGCTTCCAAATTTTGGCTATTGTAAACCATGCTACATTGAACACAGGGGTGAACACACAATACAATATACAGATGATGTATTATAAAATTGTACACCTGAAACCTATGTAATTATGCTAGCTAATGCCATCCCAATAAATTCAATAAAATGTCTTTGAGATGAAAAAATTAGAAGAGACAAAAACAAACAAACCAGATTCATTTGTGATGAACTACCTCCATGGGAAAACCTGATGAGGATGATGTGTCCAAACAGGATGGTCTTAAGCATTTTTGCAAAGACTTTGTAGGTGCATTCAGACAGAGAGATGGTAATTGTTGCTCTGTGACAGGTTTATTCTCCCTCAGCAGTTCAAGCAAAAATTAAAACCAAAACAAAATTCAATTCAGCACAAAAGGGGACAGTTGTGATGAGCTATATTATTGGCTTTTACCTTTAAAGTATCTAGCAAAATCATTCAATTATAGAACTGCAGAATAGAATGATTCTTTGGCTATGACTTAAGAATATTGTTTTAAAATGTAGGTAAAAGTGGGAAGACAGAATATGGAAGACATTCCAAATTTAAGGGCAACTCTAGTTCTGTAGCACAGTCATGGAAATCAAACTCAGGGACAAAATGTTTACAAATTCCCCAGTTGATACCTTTATCTACTTCCACCCTGAAAAACTCCATGTATCATTTTTGTATCATTTAATGTACCATGCACCTTTAAATGTATCAGTTTTGCCTTATTCATAACTTGATCATTTTTCTTTTCATTAGGCCAATAATGTATGACAATTCTAAAAGTTACCATTGTAACTTTATACACAGCCTCAAAAACCTCCTGGATATTTATAATACATCATCTGAATCAGAAAAATAATAATAGATACATTGTTACTAGCAAGAAATAAGAGTAGATATTTATAACATTTCTTAGGTATGCACCCACTTGGGGCCAGAATAGATACATAGAATGAGTAGGATGGGAAATGTCTTAAAGAACTGAAAATAACTTATTGAGCCCCATGCATTAAGGCAATCTGACTAAAGCTAAGAATAGTTCTAAACAGCCCTAACCAGTTTGGCTCAGTGGATAGAGCGTCAGCCTGTGGACTGAAGGTCCCAGGTTCGATTCCGGTCAAGGGCATGTACCTTTGCTGCGGGCACATCCCCAGTAGGGAGTGTGCAAGAGGCAGCTGATCGATGTTTCTCTCTCATCGTTGTTTCTAACTCTCTCTCCCTCTCCCTTCCTCTCTGTAAAAAATCCATAAAATATATTTAAAAAGAATAGTTCTAAACAGAAATAAAAAAATATTAACATAAAATAGATGTATTACATTGAACCATACAAAACTGCTAATACTAAGAACAGTAGTTTCATACGGTTCAACGTATATATTCACATGTCTTCTGTAGAATTCCAGCCAATTTAGTAAACTTGCACAGAATAACCTTCCAAGTACTAACAACCTTTCAAGTACTAATATCTACAACAATCACAGACATGCACAAGAGACAGAGCTTGTCTTCATGTAACACACAGACTATGGAGACCCTCCTAAACCAGGGTGGTCCTACCTGGTACAAGCACTGTGGTATCACAACAAAGAAGATGAGAGGAGGGGAGAGAGTGAAGTTGGGAAAACCTTTTCCGAGTTGATTTGGCTACTGCAGTTAGGTAGAAACCTAAGTAGGAAAAGTAAAGAATGGTAGGGACAGGAAGAATAGGAAAGGGCATGGACGGGCAAGGAAGAACAGGGCGGGTAAGAGTAGGGTAGGGTAAAGAAGGGATATGTAGGAAAGGGAAAAATGTTCCAGGAAAAACTGAAAAAACAAGGTGAGAGAATCCTGTGTATGCACTCTGGACATCATCCTGGTTGGCTGACTAGTTTGTTCATTGATTCATTCATTCAACCATGATTCATTAAGCACCGAATGCATGCTGAAAATTGAGTCACTAATCTACATTTTATGATTATGATTGTTCAGTCAACTGGGAATTCATTGAATTGCACAATCACCTACCTACATTTACTTACCAGAGTCACATAGCTATCAATATAGTTTGTCAAATGTCTACTCCTTCCAAATTTCTAGAATTATATTTTAGGTTTCTTTTCACCTCCAAATGACTCCTCAGTGGGGAGTCATTAATCACCAAGAAGGGATGTTTCCATATTCCTTCAAACTAATTCCTCTGAAATTTTCACATTTTACAGGACATTTTTTTCCTCAAAGTTCAGCCTCCTATTCAGTACCCAGGGGCAGAGCCTTCTAGTGGTCCCACAGTTCCAGAGGATAGAGCCTCATTCATCTTTCCATTCACATTGTTTACCATTCTTGGCATTGACTGCTTTTTTTTCTGGATTTTTTTCTTTCCTCCTGCTGATGGATATTCCCTCATTTCCAAAGAGCCAGCATGCCCTCCAGATTCCTTAAGCTCCTTTATCTCTCTCCTGAGTAAGGAGCTAAGACTGCATTTGTGGAACACATCATGGTGACCACCTCCAACAAAGACAGGCAACTCAGGGCCAGTGGGTTTCCCTGAGACCTATACCTTCCACAATGTTTCTGGGGCATAAAGGCATTCACATGTCTTTGCACATGCCTAGCATAACCCTTCCTCTTTGGCCCTCAAAGGAAATCAATACACAGAGTAACAACCTCAAAAGCAAAGACAACCTCACTTCACATTCTGATAGTGGGGAAGGGCACGTAATAAGAATAGAGCCACAGTTGTCTAATAATCATTCACCTTACTAGCTACAGATGAGAAGTTTTCTTACAGACCCTAGGAAGCTGGAGGACGAAACAAGGCTGTAAAAAGATAAGATGCCTTGATGGGTTCATTACTCAGAAAATAAACACATTTTTGGGAACAGACCAAGGACAGGACACGCTTTGATTTGGTTGCTGTGCCTGGACCCTGACCCCCTCCAGGAGTTTTTCTCAGGAAGGCTGACCATTCTCCAGTCCCAGGAAGGGGCTGAGCTGTTTGTAACAAACATCATAGAAGATTAGCCACCTTGTTATCAGACTTTGAGCTCCTGAAGGCCGAACTGCAGACTCTACCCTGCCCTTTCCATGTTACACTTGCAGCTCACAGCTGCACATAGCTATCTTCTCCCTCATGTGTACGTAATCAGCCCATTGGTGAGCAAGGTCAGAGCAGAATTTCCAGGGTGACCAATTGCTCTCCCCATACTACCGGCAGTATTGGAATAAATGCTCATATGATTCAACCCTGTCTCTGCTTAATTTGGCTCAAGTAGTGACAAGCAGCCTCGACCCATTGCATCCAGTTTCAATTCTAGTGTGAAAATCCCTCACCTGCTTGAATGAATGAATTTTAAATAAATTGTGTTTTAAAAGAAATTGTTAAGTGATTACTATTATCACATTACTTGAAATCAAAGATGTCTTCTAGCAGAAAATATCTGAAAGTAACAAGAATATTCAAAATATTAAGACCCATGCTATATTAAAAATGTTGCACAAATTAAGAAATTCAGAAACTAGAAATATAGCATAGAGGCAGAAATTTAGAAT